AATTCTATCTTATTTTTAGTTATCACGATCTTTATTAAAGACACGACATAGCCCCTAGCCCATATAATTAATGAAGCAATAACACTTATACATATTATCGACTTGCTACTTAACCCACCCAAAGTTACATTTACTACTCTAGTAGCATAATTCTATAAACGTAAAATATACAGTAAACATTAGTACAAGCTTATTATTATTATAATATATAACATATCAAACAGTACACTCAAAGTTCTAAGTTTAAAGCTTACATGTAACGTCCTAATCTTTTTTTTTTTGACCGTTTTTGGCATTTAAAACTTACATATAGTTAATACAACTAGTACTAGCAGTATATAGTAAAAATATTCGCCCCTAAGTAAAGTTTTTGTAGAAGTGGATTATTTTGGATTAATTTTAACAGTGAATATTTACGTTCGTTTAGAGCTAGAATTCGCTTTTACAGCGATTTTTTTGTTAGTGAAACGTTACGTTTCCAAAAAGTACTTTAAAGTGTATAAATAAGTTACCCGGGCAATTGATTTACATCAGCCAATCAAACGAATGTCCGCCTATGAGGGCTAGGGTACTACAACTACGTTAAGACCACGTGATATTCACATCTGTTTTAAATCTATTGGTTGACATCGATATTAGAATCTCATGCAAAAAATGCTATTTCAACTTTCGACACAACGCATAAAATTATCATCGGTTCTAAATAAATGCGTGGTCAATCCACAAAGATTTTTATCAGCCACACAATCCTTAGCATCCAAAATAGGCCGCAAACTTATTAGATACCCTCCCGAAGTCACAATTACACACGACCGAACACCAATTACTCAACCACGCGTCAAAGCTGATTTAAATTCTACCACTCTATCAATATCAGGACCATTGGGCACACACTCCATACCAATTAAACCTTATGTTCGTCTTGCATTTCATGAATCAAGTGTACCTTATGTAAAGCCTGAAGATAGAAAATCCGCAATAAATGAAGAGAATTTTATTGATGAAAGCGATTTTGACAAAAAACTTCGTGTTACGGTTCAACATCCTGAAAATAAAGAACAAAAAACCATGTGGGGTACAACTCGAGCCTTAATCGCGAATTACATTAGAGGTGTATCAGAGGGTTATAGGGTTTCACTGAAATTTGTTGGTGTTGGTTATAGAGCTAGTCTGGAATCCGATGGTAAACTTTATCTTGAAATTGGTCATGTTAATCCTGCAGTCATGGAAATTCCACCAGGTATCAAGTGTACTGTACCAACACCAACTAAGATCATTTTAAGTGGTACTGATAAGCAGTTAGTATATAGGTTTGCAGCACAAATAAGAGAACATAGAAAACCGGAACCTTATAATCAAAAAGGTATTTTCGTCGGAGACGAAACCATTCAAAAAAAGACGAGCAAGAAAAAATAAAATTTACATTACGTATAGATCTTTATTAATAAATTGCATTTTTATACAATATTTAATATAATATTAATACATAAGGGAACCATGGGTATTATGGCGCGGGGGGTATTGTGGCGCACTTATGTTTTTCGATGATATCTTGCGATCCACTGATCTGAATCGAATAATTTTAGTACCGTTCGATTCGTCTTAGCGAGACGAATCAAATGGTATAAAAATCGGAT